CTATCTGATAGGAATGATGAGATCCAACTAATTAGGCTATATGGTAACCCTAGCCTAATACAGACTCTGAGTAATTGATTTGTAGAGACATGGTCAAAAGCCCCTTTGACATCAATAAATAGGGTAGTAGTCATCTCTTTTCTATGTTTAGCAGACTGAATATCATGAACTAGAGACATGACTGCATCTATAGCTGATTTTCTTTGCCTACCCCCTACCTGGTCATAGTATAGTAGGCGAGATGACTCAGCTAGGGTAGAAAGTCTCCTAGCTATAATCTTCTCAGCTATTTTCCCTAGGCAGTTTAGTAGGGAGATGACCCTGTATGCTTTAGGCATAGAAAAGTCCCTTTTTATTGATGCTGATTTTTTAGTACAACCCCTTTGGCAGATTGGGCTTACTAGGCATAGATTGCCTAATCGTGCTTATTAAGCCGCCTCTCCTATCCTGACTCCCCTTTTTTTCTTCCTTTTTTCTTTATCTTTGCCAAATCCACCTATACATACCTACTATCCCTTAACATTTGATTTCTTTACATTATACTACTGCCTGTCTCTTACTCCCTATTTCTGTCCCACATAGAATGTTCCCACTGTTGACTGGACTATAGCATAACCCACCTGTATATAGATATTAGCTACTAAGCCCTACTGCCTAGGTGGAAGGCAGAGCGTGCATAGTCTCTGACTGAAAAACGCTCTCTAAAATGGAAGAATAATAATAATAATAAGTAGGTTTTTAATACAAAAATCAAGCCATTAATAGAGAAGTTTCAGAAGGAATTGTTTCTCTGTAACAGTTTCAAAAACAACTCTAGGCTTTATGGATTTAAAGGTGTTGTCTGAGGCTGTGCAGCAAAGCATACTAATGTCCTCAGTCTAGTCTATAATGTTGTTATATACTGGTGAGCAGAGTGGCCAGAGATGCCTTTTTTTTTTTTACCCTAATCTAAATGCTGCAAAGGCTCTCTTTGAGACAATTCCTTATAGCTTGATGATATATACAATCTCTATGCTATACTGGGCAACATGGATGTCCAAGTTTATACATGGTAACACCTAAAAAGAATACTGTATGTCTTCTGATGGTCCTCCTGTGTATTCTTATCAATCACCAGGCCAGTATAGACATTCTTTATTTAGTGTACTATTCCCCTATGTGCAAGGGCCATATCAACCACCATCACCTAGTATAAGCCCTTACTATTCTGCCTCTCATACAGGATATGGCTATCTATAACCACAGCCAGGTTTGCAGAATTCTCTATATAAACAGCATATAACCCCCTTCCCCATCAATGCATAGCTCACCATGTCTGGTACTGTGTACCTAGCACATTATCAACCATATAAGTCTCACATCTCTTACCCATACCTATTACCTGGCTATGGGTCACTGCCGCCACTACTGCTAATACTATATGAACCACCTTTCTATAATGCTTCATCTCGTTCGCTGCAGCAACGACTGTTAAATTGTGGCCCTTGGAGTTAGTACGGCGGACTATTAGGAGAAAACGGCAAAAACGAAAATTTTTTTTCGTCCCTTCACCGTCAATTTTACCGCCTACTATAATATAACTAGTTTATTAACATACTATTACTTTTGTTCCTAAGCACCTAGTTATAGGCCTCGGAGCCTAATTAGTAGGCCTTACAATGCCTAATTACTAGGCTTTATAGCACCTGGTTATTTAGCCTTATAGAAACTAATTACTAGGGCCTAAAAGGACTAATAATCTATGCTTATAAGGCCTACTTCTTAGGCTTATAATACCCAGCAATTAGTTACTCTAAGGCTTTATAATTAGGCACATAATACCTAACTAAGTACCATGAGCCTGAGTAATTAGGCTTCGTAAGGCCTAGTAGTTAGGGGCCGTGAGGCCTAATAACTAGGGGTTGTAAGGCCTAGTAGTAGTTAGTTGTGGTAAGAACCAACTAAAAACTAATAATAGTTCTGCCGGCAGAAAAATTTGAAAATTGGTTTTTTGCCGTTTTCTCCTAATAGTCCGCCCTAAGTTAGTCGGTTAGTCTTGTTTAGCTGTGGAGCCTCTAACTCCAGCGTTCAGGCCTGTGTCGAGATTTGGCGTGGTTATTATTGACCAAGGTCAAGTTCCAGAAAGCCCCCCTTTTGCTCCAAATAGAAAAAAAAGGAAAAGGGGAATTAAAGTCATTTTGGCTGGTCTGGCTTATTTTTTTTCTATAACGAACCTTCCCTACGAACATGAGATAGACTCCTTTTTTTCCCTCCCTTTTGATCTTTTGCCTTCAATTCGAGTTCGGGAACAAGCAAGGTTCGAAGATAGGATCTGTCGGCTTTTGCCTTATCCAACTTCTAATTCATTCTCGGAGATCATACCATCTATCATTGTCCTGATCTCTAACGCTGACAAGATATCGTTATAATCACAGATCTTGACATCTGATTCCTGTGCCCTTGATCCCAGAACCATCATCCTATTTGGTACACGTCAGGATATAGGACTGTCAGCAGTAAAGCCGACAATCATTGAGGTATCAGATAAGTCAAGTCCTCAAAATGAGATACACCTGCTGCCTTGAGGCCGGTTAATTCTCATCATTTTCACGGCTTGTTGCCAAGAGAAATGTGCATTCTGTTTCTGTTCGGTCAAATGAGGTTCCGGTTGCCGCTATATATCTGCAGTGTCGTTTACATAATGGCATGCCCTTAAGGTCCTAAATAAACTTATTTTTAATGTGGATATTCCTTTGTTGGGGCAGTCTGGGTAGACCATAACAACCTACATGATGTATTTAGCTGTTCCGAAAGGCAGTACGAATCAACGCACAGGTCGAGATGGCCAAGACCGAAAAGGGTCGCTTTCATCTAGTAGGTGATGTGTTTCGGTTCAAAACCTAGCAGAGCCAGTTCCACTCCTGGTCTCTCTACAACATGGTCAGAGAATTTGTGCGATGCCACTTAAGGTGTTTTTACAAAATCCTCCTTATCGAGCATTCCTAATGCCGAACTACACACGTCCTTCCGCACCACGTGTTTGATTAGTTTGGGAGTCCCGAGGTCTACAAACGAAAGTTTGTTTCTAGGAGCCTTTCTGGATGAGAAACCTTCGTTGAACAGGCTTGATTACATCCCAGAGAGCGTCGCCACTCCCCATAATGAGTTCGACAAAGTCTGACCCGTGTGTTCAATCCCCCGGTCCGTTTCGAAACTCACCCGAGCAGGAAGCTTCTTTGACAAGTCAATCACACTTGGAAAATGACACGGACACCATTAGAGAGGTCTTCGAGAGCGGACCGTCGGTTATAAAAGGAGAATGTCAAACTGAGGAGACTGATGACGACGGGCACGATTCTGCATCTTCCAACGAGTTAGCAGAAGACATCCTTCCCAGGGATAGACAGCAAAGAACACCCACTTATGATTACGCCTATGAAAAGTCAATGAGCCATGCAGAAGCGAAACTGTTTTATCAGAGACATCGACAGACATCGAGAAACCATGATGGCGAATCTCTCCAGAGTGCAGCCATGGCCAATCGCACGATCTCTCATAAGGGAGAAGATGTCGCACCGAGTTGGACAGCAAACATAGCATCTCGAATGAGCAATCCAGGTCAAACATCTTCCACCTGTGCTCAAGATACGGCAACAGTCACACCTGATGGTTCTGCTCAGAATGCACCATCGACGCATACCTCCAATTATTCCTCCTACATTCGTATGCATCATGAAAGTCTTGCAGCTGATCAATCGCCTCGAAACCATGCACTACATCCGGGGCTTCTACATGAGCACAGACCATATGTTTTATCTTCACAGGATATCCATAGAACAGGAACTGGAATCGGAATCGGGCAAGGTGTCGAGGGCTTTGGATCAAGTGACGACGCTGTCACAGCAGAACTGAACATCGTGTGTCGTAAGATACGAAGTCTCCTCGAAAGACGGCACAAATATATTCAACTGTCCTTGCAAGGGCCAGGAAGTAATCCAAAGGACGAGCCTAACTGGAAGATTTATCCACCACCACCCGACCCTTCCTGGGATGAAGACAAAGAACGCTTGAACAACAATGTGTCCGCCCCGCCAAATGGGAACGTGTCGAGTCTCGGACTTTCTCCAGGGCCTGACAATGTCAACGACTCGCCTCCTCGAGTGCGCAAACGGAGGAAGATGGGCCAAGACATTGGGGAAGATTTTGACATGGCAGATCTCATGCCTCTCCCAGGAGAATCAGACCTCGTATTCCGACTAGATGGGACGAGCGTCTATCAAGTGTACGAGAGCGATGAAGCCGCGGACCGCAATCAGCCGATCGTTCAGATTCCGTCCCTGAGGGATTTTTATATGGACTTGGACACAATCACCGATGTATCCACGGACGGCCCAGCTAAGTCCTTTGCCTTCAAGCGTCTGTCATACCTTGAAGGCAAGTTCCAACTACACACCTTGTTAAATGAGTATCAAGAATTAGCAGATAGCAAGAAAGTGCCGCATAGAGATTTTTACAATGTTCGGAAGGTTGATACCCATGTTCACCATTCAGCTTGCATGAACCAAAAGCATCTTTTAAGGTTCATCAAGAGCAAGATGAAGAAGTCGCCAGATGAGGTTGTCTTATTTAGAGACGGGAAGCATTTGACACTGAAGGAGGTCTTTGAGAGCATTAACTTGACGGCTTATGACCTAAGTATCGATACGCTCGATATGCATGTGAGTCTTCTAGCACTCGCAGAGTTTATGCTTTGGATACTAAGTGGAGCAGGCACATAAAGACTCGTTTCATCGATTTGACAAATTCAATCTGAAATACAATCCTGTCGGCGAATCCCGTCTGCGTGAGATCTTTCTCAAAACGGATAACTATATCAAGGGGCGCTATTTAGCGGAGATCACGAAGGAGGTGATATCAGATTTAGAATCAAGCAAGTATCAAATGGCGGAATGGCGCATCTCCATCTACGGGAGGTCGATGGACGAGTGGGACAAATTGGCAGCATGGGTGGTAGATAATAAAATATTCTCCCCCAATATTCGCTGGCTGATCCAGGTACCACGACTCTACGATGTGTACAAGTCAAGCGGCATGATGCAAAATTTCGAGGAGGTTATCACGAACGTTTTCCAACCTCTTTTTGAAGTAACCAAAGATCCTCGCAGCCATCCCAAGCTCCATATCTTCTTGCAACGCGTTGTTGGCTTCGACAGCGTCGATGATGAGAGCAAAGCAGAGCGTCGGCTCTACAAGAAATACCCAATCCCGAGGGAGTGGAACACGAAACAAAATCCTCCTTACAGTTACTGGATCTACTTCATGTTCGCAAACATGGCATCCCTAAATTTCTGGCGGAAGCGCCGCGGTTTTAACACGTTTGTTTTAAGACCGCATTGTGGTGAGGCTGGGGATCCCGACCATCTCGCTGCTGGGTTCCTATGCTGTCACAGCATCAGTCATGGCATTCAGCTTCGGAAAGTCCCTCTGCTTCAATATCTCTTCTATCTCGACCAGATTGGTATTGCCATGTCACCGCTGAGTAACAACGCGCTCTTCCTGACCTATGACAAAAACCCTTTTGCCAGCTTCTTCAGGAAAGGGCTTAACGTCTCTCTTTCAACGGACGATCCATTACAATTTGCCTTCACAAAAGAACCGTTGATCGAAGAATACGCGGTTGCAGCGCAGATATATAAGCTTAGCGCTGTTGACATGTGTGAACTAGCTAAACATTCTGTTGAACAAAGCGGTTTCGAGCTAGCTCTCAAGCAAAGGTGGCTTGGTGAACAATGCCACTTGCCCGGAGTCGCAGGGAACAACGTTGCCAAGAGCAATGTCCCGGATCTTCGGGAAGCATTTAGACACGAGACTCTCGTTGGGGAATTATCTTTGTAAGTTATAGCCTTTTGTGGGTGGGATCCGGAGAAAAGATGCCCCCTTATTAACGCGCACGTATTGTAGGATTGAGAGATATTCATCGTATACGTCTGGTACTCTTTCAAACACATCGGTTGCAGGACCTCCTTCTAATGTTCTCTGCAACAATGCTACGGAAGCTGCGTGCCCTGCAAGCACAATATCGGCTTCAGGCTTCAATTCAGCAGTATCAAATCCTACGATCCCAGCCGAATATCATCTTCATCGTAGAATCGTTCAATCATCACCTCTTACACACGACCCGAAGATAAACACCATTTACGCCCAAGCTAATGGTATCCCGGGAAGCCACAGCATGATGCCGGAGCTTCAGCCAGGGTACTCTTCTCTAGTCACTTCCGGTCAAAATCTTCCACCGCCACATGCATCAGTCGGTGCAAGTGGGAACGCTGGAACCGCAGTAGTGGGTTCTGCGAACTTACCAGAGCAAAAGATCTTCCCTGGGTTAATGCATGAAAGAGCGAGAAGGGGAAGCATGAGGGTTGGATCTTCAGCGGACTCGTCGACGGAAGACAGAGACGGTAACGGTCACCATAAGGACGAGGAGGACTTTGAGGTTAGTAAGTTGTCTGTTTAGGGAATATACGTAGACTCAAGCGATACATAATTTTCCAAACAAAAAGAGAAACAGGGGTATTGTCAATTTGGCCTTTTTTTACTTTCAATATTAGGTTCCCAGGCCTTGGTGAATACCTACCTGCTGGTTCCTTCAGACTGAAGTAGATGACTGCGTCAGTGTATAGAGGGAAGAATCAAAGACACGGCACAGGCTAAATCGGTGTTAGTTAATCTGCATTATGGATCTGTATTATTACATTCTTAATCAACAGAGCTGTGTACTAACTACTACTCCGTATTTCACATCATCCTTTGGCTGAGTTTGCAACGCTATACTCCGTAGTATCAGTAAGCCTTTGGTATAGGCTAGGTATTTTTGCTTCAAATCAGCAGAGTGAAGCGAGGCCTTTAAGGATTGTGCCTCTTTCTCAGGGATTGGCTACTTTGGGCCCTTCCCTCTACAGGTATTAACAACCATTTCAGTTCCTTGGCTGCAGTAATGTATGACTCGTTGTGCTTCAATCCCTTTATCCTAACTCCTATTCTAAAAAGAAAACTTGTGTTAAGCCTTTACAACTTGCATCCTCTAGCATAAGAGCAGGTTGGCCCTCATCATACCCTCGCCATATGGTTGAAATCATACCGTTGCAGACTCAACCAAAAAAGGAATGCCATGAGGTTCTCTCATGACACCATGTGGCTGTATGCCCTGTAATCTATAATCGATGAACATCACTAGGACTTCTAACAAATAGATTATTTACACTGTTAAAAAGCGGTATATGCAAAATCGACGCACTTATAGTAGTGGTCACTGAACATCAAGAAAAATGATGTTATCAACATTAAATCAACGTACAAGATATAGTAGTGCAGCCATCCATCCCCGGCGATCCTCAAAACACCTTGTGAGGATAAGCGATTTCTAAATCATGACCCTAAGAATGCCAGCACAAGACAGAAGCAATCTATGAGTATGACACAGGGCTCAAACAGCCCAGCTTCCCTTGCGTTCCCGAACTCCCCAAGTGTCAAGACTACTGTCATTCCCAGCCATTCTTGGCTGTTGTCTCGCCCATTCCCGTATATACAAGCGCAAGGCCATCCATCGCATACACTTACCTCCTGTGACGCCTTCTTCACTCACCCCAACACCCTCTGGAACACCGACATAGCCCTTGGCATCAGCGCGCAAGTCATCACGCCTGAGAACGTCAACAGGTATGCCGGAGATCTTGCTGAGTTCATAGTCGTAGTAGCGGGCCAAAGATGGGTATCCGAGGGAAAGATAATTATAGACCTGGGTAACAAACCCATCATGGAATTCTCGATCTATTTCCTCCTCAAGACTCAGCATCTTATCCGTGTGATCGTGAGAGGATTCTGATTCGGGATGCGCTATAAGTTGATCGCTCGGACTATAGGAAGCCGCGTTATTCAAACTTAGATAAGATTCCCCATCAATATCAGGATTTGGTGTCACAATTCCGGATCTGAAACGTTTCGATGACGACTGGCTAATCTCCTCGTCCTTCCGGCACAATCCCTTCCATAAGCCAGCCCCATCTTCATGTTCAATACGAGGACTCGCGCACCAGAGTCTTGGAGATTTTCCATCTTCTCTACCGTCGCATTCCTGGTGAGATGCCAACTCTTGATCGTTTTCACATTGGGTCGCTTGGGGGGAAAGGCTGAATGGAAAGACTAGGTCACTTCCCAGCATCGGTGGACTGGCAGCATGTTTCATCTGCGCCAAACCCACATCCCTCTGCCATCCCCCAAGGAAAGTCGCATTAGAAGTATGATCTGCTTTGTTAACAGCTCGCCGCGCCGCTATAGCCGCCGCGGAAAACCTTGATTCACCAACATCTATATTTTTCTGTTCGCGACCTCTCAGTTCCGCTTCCTCTTTATGCCGACGCATTTGTTCGAGTTCCCATGGCAGATCAGCGATAGACTCCCGTCGAAAAGAAACTATGTCATCCTTGATATCACGTAGGACGACTTCAACTTTTTGATCCTCACCATCCGACTCTTCCTCTTCTCTATCGATGGCAAAGTGGGAAACAGGTTGATGAACCTGCTCATTCGGAAATGCAGCCAGAGCCTGGTCTCTCAACTGTTTTTCAGCAGCGCGTGCCGCTAGAGAGAGGAGATATCCTGAGAAACGCTCATCACAACTCTCCCGAAACTGATCTTTTATCTTCGAACGCTTGGAGCTCTCATCAGATGGCGTAGATGGCGAAGTCGAAAGAGAAGGCACGTCGGAGCCTTCAGAGCCTTCGCTACTATTCGATGGGATAGCTGGCAAGTCTGGCACGCGAAACGAGTGTCTCCTCTCCTCTTGTCGCCGTAGAAGGCTTGCATATGAAAATCGTGATTCCGGCGGTCGAGAAATAGCCTCTTCACTCTCAGCCAACGGCTCATATGATATACCAGATAGCGGGGTATGCCTTAGTCTGTTAGTGTACTCTGGCAATTCTTCGCCACTTGCAGCCAGCGTAGCCCTAGCCTCTCCCTTTCGAAACGAGCGCTTTGCAGTCTCTATAAGTTGAGGGGCGAACTTTCGAGGAGTATTCCTCTTGGGAGAAACGTTGGAAGGATTCGTCGATTTGGTCGAATTCCCATCGTCTGGATTTCCAGAGCTACAAAGTCCTTGGCGCCTGCTCAGTTTAATCGACTCTATCGGCTCTGGAAGAAACCTCCTCACAGGCTTACTCCCACCCCTGTCTCTGCTCGATTCTCTTGCTGGACGATTCAAAAAATCCGGTTCAGTCGAAGTCTGAAGATGCTGCTGCAACGACGATCTGGAGGCCATGGGACTTGTCTCTATGTGTTGCGGTAGAGCTGGAGGTTTGGTCGACGGACCAGACTCTGTAGGCGACATGTCATGTGTGCGTACCGACTCCGGAGGTGGTGTCTTCACAAATTTACTACCATCCTCTGCTCTGGATATCGCTGGATGATTCCTAGAGCTACGGGTAGATGTCTCTGTAGGTTGTGGTAAGAATCTTCTCTTTATCCTCGAGACTTCTGAAGGCTGTGGCTCATGTTTCTGGGCGTTGAGAAGTGAATGCACTGGACCAAAAGCAACCTCACAAGCAATATCGCGCTGTCCCAGACGTCGTAGATCGTCATCATTCACTCTTTTAGATTGTCCAAGAGATACTTGACAGATCTCCGGAACTTCGGGGACATGGCGTTTACTAGACCTCGACGAGGTTTCGATAGGCTCTGGCAGGAACCTCCGTACCCGGTAAGGAGATTTATTGTCCATTTGCCAACGCTGGTTAATCTCCTTCTTAAAAGAGAAGGAGTCAAGGTTCGGGAGAAAGAAAGATCACCTCAATCGAGCATGACCCAGTGGAGGACGATGGGATTAAACCAAAAAAAGCATCATCAACAACCGTACGATGAAGTCGGGTGATTTTCGGCAAGCTGGTGTCCCTCAGCATTGACTGAGTATGTGCAGAAGGAAAACCAAGACCCGTACGGGAACGCCCAATGCCAATGATGATTTCCTGGCGAAAGGTCAAGCTATGCAGGCATTTCCTATCAAAATACCCGAAAACGAGAACGCAAAGATTCTAGCACCTTCCTAGACAGACAAGCAAAGGTCAATAGGCAGAACAATCCAGATTTGTTGAGCCAGCAAGATGTGTGAGTAACAAAGTAGGTGGATCGAAAAGGGGCCTGTCAAAGAAAGGGGGAAAGGGTCAGGAAATAAAATACAGTGCCATTCAGATGTGCTGAAGTAAACTCCCTTTATCCGAAATAAGTCTAAGCTTATGATTCAGCAAGACAAACTGGAGTCCCATTCAGAAATGCATAACATCGCAGATGGGCTACTGTTGGGAGTTGGCGGGACATGTGAAGCTGACGTAAACGTGATGAATAGGTGGGTGTTCATACACAGGTAAAAATGGGAACATACCGAGAATTATTCCATTAACCAGGTACACATGTAAAAGAAGACAAGATGATATGATCAAAAAGATCTTCAAATTTAAGTGGTTGACATATGCCATATGGAGTAGACCGTAGATTACCTGTAGCTAAGTTTGGGGCTTGGTGTTTTGACAGGGCATGGATGGAGTAAAATAATGGCCCGCCTGGGCATGGACAAGAGTTGTAAAGGACTAGAGGTCTGGAACCAGAAGGGTGGTTGGTGGGTGGGGGGAGTAAGTGGGGAAAGTGGCGGCCACACTGTACAGAGTATGTGATGGAGATCCATGGATATATTCTGTAGGTTATCAAGGGATCAGCACTGTGGATGGTAAAGGAAAGTCACAGAAATCAGCTGCCTACAACAGCCTCTAACTGAGTTCTTTCGACCCCTTCCTCTCTCCATTTCTTTCCATTCTTCTCCATTTTATTTCTTCTGTCATCTCCGTATTGTGAAATCGTTAACTTCTGTTGCTGCATACTACCATGTGATTTTGACCTAAAAAAAAAGGGGAAAGCATGTTAAATATCAGCAAAGAGTTACAGCAAAAAGCAAAAAAAAAAGAATATGGTGGAATATGGGTAGGAGGCCCACATTGGGAGTAGATGATAAAGACTACCTGTAACAAGAATATGCACGGCAAGGAATATGAGTGCGAAGCCTGCCTGGAAAGTAAATTGCCTTAAAGTATGCCTGAAGTTACAAGTCCTTGGCATAGACCAGGGAATCTTAATACCAAATGTGATGAAAGCCAGAGATCTTAATTCATTAAAGGTGTCCAGCCTAGTTTAGCAGTGTGCATTAACTTGATCCTAAATGATAATGGTGCCACAATTTCTGATTCAGTTAGATGATTATTGACATTCTACTTCTTGCTACTCACTCCATCTGCAGCTTTTACTTGACCCTCCAGAGCACCAGGCATTTGATTGTTTCAACCTAATAATGTATATCATATGTGCTGAGTAAAATTTGTCACTCTCAGGTTTTCAGATTTAGCTTTATGCTTTATAAAAGAGATGGCAGATATCTACTTCAGCTGATCCTATGAGATTACCTAGTATTGACCACACAAATCAACTGGTCAACATTTAGCTTTAAATTTATCTATTTTCTTCACTTAACAATTATCTTGGTCAGTTATACATTTATTTCCTTTCCCTTCTTGTTCACATGATTCAAACTTTTGATGTACGCATCTCTTTTTTTTTCTTTGTCCAGTTGACTCAACCATCAGTTACAAAACGGCCTTCTGGTCCTTTAAAATTCCTATCACTTCCATAGTTGTCAACTGGGATAATACCCGTTGCAAGTCATAGTTGAAGAACTTCCAGAGCATTGCAGATGAAATTGTCAAACTACATTCCCATTCACATTGTGAACTTCAAGCCGCCAGTCTCCTTCATATTCACCATCATCAGGTATGACAATTCGCCTTTCATCCAAAAGTATAAATTTCCAGTATTAATGACCTTGGTTGCTTCAAAACCCCGACAAGATACGAGGAAAAGTCTTCGACTAACTCAGGATCCTTCTACTGACTTGTGACTTGATTCTTTAGTACCTTCTAACATTCAAAATGCCGACTCTTCAAAATCTAATCTGCCATGTCGAACAGATAGGTACAGAGAAAAGTCCATTTAATGAATACGCGGTCTCCTACGGAGATAGGGTCGTAGAGAGTTATATCGCAGTTCCTCCCGGCTCAACACCCTTTGCTATCAGTTTGAAGTCGAATTGTTTCATCTTTGAAGGCTTGTCAATGTTTGTCTTTATCGATGGGTTGTACCAATGTAACCGCAACAGATGTGGCCTTTCACTTCCTGATGCGTGTGCTGTTACTTCTGACGCCTCCCAACGAAGAGCCTCTGTGGAGTTCAGAGTCCGCCAGAAGGAGGAGTATCTCCCAACAGGCGAGTGCGTGGGCAAGGCGTGGAGTTTTGCGCCTCTCGATACTGGTAAGGTTCATATACAAGATGTGTATACAGCTTTGATTATAGCTAGAGCTTACGCTTCATCCGTAGTGCATACTACATCTTGCGCTAGCCCCGAGACATCGAGCTGCTCTAATCACCTTGGATCGATCGAGGTCTACGTACTACGATGCTTTCACCGCAGAAACAGCCAAGAGTCTCTATTTGACGCCATCTCAGACGGGTCTTTGTCGCCAGAGTCCGCGACATCTCCTCTAGACTGCAGCCCACTGGTCTGTCAAAGTATGAGCGGAGCTACGACTGGGTTGGAAAATAAAATCCGATCGCCGCCTGAAGATCTCCTTCCAAATGTCGGAAGTAAATACAGATTGGCTAATCGGAGGACGACACTTGATGGATCGAAGGATAGTGTAATCTCCAGGCCAGAATACAGCTATGGCAAAGGAGAGCACCGATATCGACAAGAGGCGAGAGTATCTGCTTTGAGTCCACCAATAGGACCGTGTGAGTACAACATACAACATATAGCCGCACAAGGAACTGGAAAGAACAGTCGGCATGACCCAGATTTGCGCCAACACAAACAGCAATCTCTCTCGCTACTAAACGAGCAGAACTCTTGCCCTCCAAGGTTTAAGCACAATGCACTGGAAGCTCAAGGTAATATTGACCAGTGCATGGTCGATTCGTCCATAAGGACTTCAGTTGATATTCATTCTTTCGAAACTCCAGCTCGTATGGACATTTGCAAGTTTACTTGTTCTGAAATGCTCAATGTTACAAGCACAGATCGCATACAATACAGCAAGGAGCTTAGGGCTAATAACGACATAGAGGAGTATTGTTACATAATCTCACCTAACTTGCGAATACAGCCCACTGGCCAGTGGCATCATCATGATTCTCTCAACTCGTGTGACTATGGAAGAGAGAACAATCGAGCAAATGGCAATCAAGGCCTCTCAAAAACAAGGGGTCAACAGTCATCCATATTAGAAGAGTCGAAATACAACCACCGGCAAACGGCTTGGGCTGCTAAGAGCATTGGAGAGAGCATCTCGGTCGAATTCCACAAAGGTCAAAATCATAACCGCTTTCCTCATGGCCATATGAGAGAAGAGGCCAGCTGGCAGTCTGAAAAGAACGGCAGCAGTCCCACGAAAACAGACGGAGAGTGGGATACATCAGATGAGGAAGAGAATCAAAATTTTAATCCCCAAGATGCCAAAAGAAAGGGAAATAATACAGATAATGAAAAAATGATTGAGAATGAGTGGGATGCTGAATATACCGAGACACAAATCACATCAAAGACGCAGGATAGCTGGGAGACTACCCTACCACTAATTGGTGACGCAGTGTTACATGACACGTGTAAGAGAACCAAAGTGGATGATCAATACGATATCAAGATTGGGAATTGGCTACCTTCCCATTCCAGTGGAACACCTGGCGATGGGATTCCCAGGGACCGGCATCCTGGGGATTCAGCCAGGTCAGCAGAGGAAGTTCGCGCGTTTCTTGATTTTCCAGTGAGAAATCAGGACAAGAACAGATATGGAACGGTAAGTCCTGAAAGAATCGACACTCGATCTTTGCTTCATGAACCTCCATTCAATGGAGGAAAAGGGCTTAAAGTTCAAGAAAATCTATGTTCTCAGCCACCTCATTTGACTGGTATCACACCCAAAGACTCTCCCGGTCTCAGACCCTCTTCCAGCGAACAAAATCGTATGAATGGGCATTTCTCGTCTTCGTCACATATTCCTGGGTTGCATTTTTCGTCATATCGTGTTCAGCTGGGAAGCGCAGAAAGGTATATTCATAACACAGCGAATCCAAAGTACATCGATACCCTGCAGGAACCATTCGCAAAGTTTGTATTCAAATACAGAGAAAAAAGTGAGGTTTTGTTACACTCCTTAAAAAAAAACAAGTTGCTGATAGAGCTTTAGGAATCATCGAAAAGATGTTTGGCACAAACAAGGGAGATATCAGCAATGAGAGCAAAGAGCTAGAAGCTCTATCAAAAACTGAGCTTATAGCACGACTTTTGCATACTGAGGTAGTATAAAGGTTATAAAAAAATGCCATAAATCACTAATTCTGATCATTATGTAGGGGCTCCTTGAACAGCAGACATTTCCTGGGAACAATCATCACAAGAATGAGATGCACATCAGTTGTAAGACAGATGGACTCGAGACAGAAAGGTCAGGCTCCCTAAGCGACATGAGAACAGGTGATCCTTCTTCAAGCGATCCTTGGGTGACTGGTCTGGGCAATACAGGTGGATTACACATATACTCCACAGATATTGCTCATCAAGCTGAAGAGCAGTCCTTATTGAATGGCAAATGCATGAATATCAAGAATACTGATCCTGAAGATTGTGGCACTTCAGATAATAAAACTGAATGGATAGACAATCATGATGATCAGCAACACAGGGAGTGGGAGTGTGGTGAGATTAGGGAAGGTGGACAAAGTGGTGGAGACAATACCAAGCATGGTGGTCATGCATGCCCAAAAGAAGTGACTAATGACAAGGCAGACTGGTAGTTGATTCAGGACCAACCAGCAGAGCTTTCTATCATCTTTTGATCATTGGATTGATTATAATAGAGGTTTTGCAACTGCTTAACAATTACAATTACAACACAACTTGACTAATTAGGTTTAGTGCAAATTATAATAGGAAGGCAGCCAGAGATCATATAATTATTATTATTATTATTCTTCCATTTTAGAGAGCGTTTTTCAGTCAGAGACTATGCACGCTCTGCCTACCACCTAGGCAGTAGGGCTTAGTAGCTAATATCTATATACAGGTGGGTTATGCTATAGACCAGTCAACAGTGGGAACCTTCTATGAGGGACAGAAATAGGGAATGAGAGACAGGCTGTAGTATAATGTAAGAATCAAATGTTAAGGAACAGTAGGTATAGGTGGATTTAACAAAGAAAAGAAATGAGAGAAAGAACAGAAAAAAAAAGGGAAGTCAGGATAGGAGAGGTGGCTTAATAAGCATGATTAGATAATCTATGCCTAGTAAGCCTGGTTCTATGGGTTAGACTAGGTAGTAGGGTTCTTGCTTAATCATTAGCTCCTATGTGCCA